CGCCCCCCCCCCCCCCCCCCCCAGAAAACCCAACACCAGCGCTGACCTCGTACAGCTTGTCGGTCTTGGCCAGAGCCACCGCCTTGTGCCACTTGAGGTTGCGCTTGTAGATGAGCGCGGCCAGGCGCCGGAACTCGGTGTCCTCGTGCCGCTCCAGCCGCCCCGCCAGCGCCAGCGCGTCGTAGTTCTCATAGGAGGTGATGCTGTCGCGCAGGCCCGCGGCGTCGCCCTCGCCCACAAGCAGCTCGTTCACCGCCTCGTTCACCGCCTGCAGGTCGTTCTTCTGCACCGACACCAGGTACTCCTTGACCAGGGGCAACTGCCCGGCGCGGCGCATGATGTCCACCACGCGCGAGTGGTCCACCCGCGACTCCACCACCTGCGAGTTGGGCAGGCGCCGGGTTTAGAGGGGAGGGGAAGGGGGAAGGGACCAGGGCGTGCGAAAGTTTGCGAGGGACGGGGCCAGGTGTCGTACGAGAATGATGGGATTGCCAGTTACCAATGGAAGGGGAAAGGGATGGAGTGCCAGGACGCTGCCTTGCCGGACATGGGAGCGGCCCTGGCCGCATGCCCACTAATTCCTTTGATCCCCATCCTGCCCGTCGCGACACGGCCCTGTTTCAATCCCGCCGCCGCCCCCCCCCCCCCCCCCCCCACCACCATCCGTACCAGGTGCCAATTGGGTGGACCCCCCGGAGCGCAAGCGCAAGCGTGTGGTGTCGTACGCGGAGAACGAGTTCTTCCGGCAGGCGCAGGGCAAGGAGGCGCGCCCCCGCGGCGGCGGTCCCCGCCTGCCCAAGATGCCGGCCCTCCAGGACTTCCAGTTCTTTGACACCGCTCGCCTCACCGAGCTGTACGACGCGGAGCAGTCCTACGAGCTGCACAAGCACGCACTGGCGCAGAAGGAGGCGGCGGCGCGGGCCCAGGGCGCCAGCGAGGAGGTGATCGCCAAGGAGATCGCGCCCGGCGAGGACGACCCGCAGCCCCTCACCCCGGAGGAGTTGGCAGGTGTGTGGGTGACTGTGTGTGGTGGGAGTGCGTCTGTGGCGGGAGGGAGGCATGGTGGGGCAGTGGGAGGGTGGATGCAAGCGAAGGGGCTCGACAGGTCCGGACACTGCCATGCCACAGCGCGTCCTGGCAAACAAAAGCTATGGTGAGTGCCGGCATCATCCCCCCCTAACGCGCAGAGCGAGAGCAGCTGCTGGAGGACGGCTTCTCCAACTGGAACCGCCGCGACTTCAACGCGTTTGTGCGCGCCTGCGAAAAGTACGGCAGGACGCAGCTGTCCGACATTGCGCGGGAGGTGGAAGGGAAGACCGAAGCCGAGGTGAGCCGGTTGGTAGAGGGAGTGCTTGAGACAGGGGAAGGGGGGAAATGGTGAGTAGGTCTTCTTAATGGACTCAGGGTGATGGAGTGAGGGGTGTCCATGCTGCCGCCGCCCGTGGATCATAGTGTTCACACCTGCAAACAAACTCTGTGCTGATCCATCTCCTACCACCAGCATCCGCATCGCTATTCCTGCCCTCCCACTCCCTGGTCATTTTGCCGTGACCACCATCCTCTCCTCCCAAACAATCAAACCCCACGAAAAACGCAGGTGCGCGAGTACGCGGCGACCTTCTGGTCCCGAGTGGGCGAGCTGAACGACGCGGACCGCATTCTGAAAAACATTGAGCGCGGGGAGCAGCGCATCCAGCGCCAGGCGGACATCATGACCGCCATCGCTACCAAGCTGGAGAAGTACCGCAACCCTTGGCAGGAGGTGCGCATCGCCTACGGCCCAGCCAAGGGCAAGGCGTACACGGAGGAGGAGGACCGCTTCCTGGTCTGCAAGGTGCACGAGCTGGGGTACGGCGCCTGGGACGAGCTGAAGGCCGAGATCCGGGGAAACTGGAGGTTCAGGTTTGACTGGTTCTTCAAGTCGCGCACGCCGCAGGTGGGGTGATTGGGGAGAGGAGAGGAGGGAGGGGGGGGGGGAGGGGGAGGCATGTGGGAGGAGGGGGGAGGCATGTGGGAGGAGGGGGGAGGGCATGTGGGAGGAGGGGGAGGGCATGTGGGAGGAAGGGGGGGAAGGGGAGGTCAGGGACGCAAGGGGAGGACAGGGACGCAAGGGGAGGACAGGGATGCAAGGGGCAGCAATGCATCGCCTCATGCAACTCCCTGGCATGGACGATCATTTATTGTCAAGGACAGGCGATCCGACCCCACCCCCCCCACCCACCCACTCCCCCCTACATTCAAACACTGTAGGAGCTGGCGCGACGCACCGACACCCTCATCCGCCTGATCGAGAAGGAGAACGAGGAGGACGAGGAGCGGAACGCGGCGTCCAAGAAGGGGGCCAAGTCCGGCGGCGCGCCAGCACGCAAGCGCGCCGGGTCGGTCACGGCGGCGTCCTCCGCAGACGTCAAGGAGGGCGGCGACGACGGCAAGGAGGAGGTGGGCAGCGCGCGCAAGGCCACGCGCGCTGCGGCCGCGGTGTCCCCCGCCAAGAAGTAGGCAGGAGGAGTGTTTGTTGAGACAGAGGGGTCTTCATGGAAATGAGGTCTCCTCACCCAGTTGGTGGGTGCTGCGCTGCACTTGGAGACTCAGACCCCTCCCCACCTATGGCGCCGTCGCACCTCGTGTGGTTGCTCCCTTTTCTGATGTACACAAGATGGCAAAGCAGGGCAGCAAGGGTGCAATCACGCTGCACGGCGGGTCAAACAGCAGTGTGCATGTGACAATGGATCGAGCCAGGCAACAGCTGCATACAGAGAACGTCGGGGATGCCTGCCTGCTGGCAGCCTACTTGCTTTCGACCTCCAGCAAGATCTCGTTGATGCGCTGGATGGGCAGCCTGAATGAGACGAGGAAAGCTTGGCGGATGATTGACAGAGTGCAGCGGGATCAGGATGATGTACAGGCAGGTGACCCTAGGCTTACATTCCAAACGCTTTGCAAGCACAACCCTGCCGACTGCTCTCCTTGAGCCCTATCAGGAGGAAAACTGGCACTCTGACAGCTGCATACCCCCAGACAGGCCACTCCAAAACCACTCACGCCCAGGGAGGGTGGTACCCTGTGTTTAAAGCGATAGTTTAGATTTTCGTGAGAGCTCCCTCTAACATTGCATGTCACCCTGCAATACAGGCAACAAGAGCATGCACCCAAAAGCTGGTTAACGTGATAAAGAATGCCGATGCTTGCGGAAGCACCAGTCCATGAACACCCGTCAAAACTGACTCACCCCAGACGTGCACGCTTCCCGTGCTCTTCACGCCCGCCGCTGCCAGCAGGGCCCGCAACTCTTGCGTCTTGCTGGCCGTAGTTTCCTCACGAGGGACCCCGCCATTCCATGTCAGCACGGCCATGGTGCGAGACGGCACCTCGATGATCTTGACGTTTGGGTTGTCGGGCCGCGGCAGGGTGTCCTTGGTGTACTTGCTGGGCATGGTGAATGCCACCTATGGGTTTCATGAGGGGGCAGGGACGCTCCTGCACCTGAACCTCTGGGACCACTCTGTTTGAGGTTCCCTCCTCAACCCAGAGAGGCTGCCACGCAGCCACGGCATACAGTACTTGCTCTCTTCTGCAAAGCACAATGCAAGCCACACACCAGCACAACCAGGATCAGTTCACCTTGTAGACTCCACCACCGTCCTGCTGGGACATGACTGGCGCTGTCATCCCGATCTTCTCGTTGTGCACCACTTCCATCGCCACAGGCGAGGTCATGGACACCTTCTCGGCTCCTTCACGGTCCACAGCCTTGTTCTTCCCGAAGATGAACCCCGCCACCTGCCTGAAGCCAGAGCCCATCGCCATGTTCATGTCACAGCCCTCCAGTGTTACCTGAGGAGTGTGGTTGCATGATGTTGACGAGTATGAGGGTCTGACATTGCCAGTCACACAAGGGGGTAAATATGGCGAATTCAGTACCACCCTTTGATGGAATTACCTCAGCGGTCAAGAAAGGGGCATAGCTCCGAATCTCGGCAGTTGTGCCGAAAAACGGCGTCTGCCGTGTCTTCAGGGTCCTTGTCACCACATACTTTGGCTTCTCAAGCTTGCGAACCTCCCACCTGCTTGTGATGATGCATGCTTCTGAATAGGTGCCACTGTCTCTTGGGATTTGAATGCGTGCCCCCAGGTTCTCCTCTCCCCGCTGTTTGTTCAATGCATGCACGCACCAGATCGCGATCGGCCATGCAACGAGAAGTGCTCCCGCTGCCGCCGCCACAGATCCAGCCACAGTCGTGAGTGCAACCATGTGTGGAGTCTTGAGAGGTTTTAAAAATATCGAGAAAGATGATTGTATGTGCATCAACGCAAGGGCATGTTGTCGTCGACGTGACCTTCCCGCCATCATGGAACCATGACGGACCCCCTTGCCCCCACAATTTAAGGCGCAAGCCTCCTCGCTGGGGACCAGAAGTACAGGCAGTGTCCGATGGCGAGCGTGAGATTGAGGTCGTGCATTCCATCAGGGCAGAACTCACCCTTTGTAAAGCACAATGTGGTTACACCGCGATGCATGCGGAGTCATGGAGCCACACTGCGCCTACCCAGACCGTTGGCATTCTTCAATCGATGGGGTAACAACCCCAGTGCAACAATCAAGGTGACATTGAATCTGTGTGCTGAGATGAACCCGGCAGGGTTCCACACAATGGGGCTGCTCCGACCAGCTCCTCGGTTGTTTTGGATCGCAGGAGCTTTCGGCTCTGCAGCAAGCCCTCAAGGAGGATCCGCTGCCAGCCAGCTCGACCATTTTGAATCTTGTCGACGCCCTGGAGAGCAGCAACACGGGGATCAAGGTGGGAAATGATGCATGTAGTTCAGCACATGCCCACCGGCTTGACTCCTGTTCTCCTCGTCTGTTTCTGCCATTCAAGCTAGAAATCTCCACACACCCATGTCCAACCCAGGATCCCACGCGATCCCCACTGATCGAGGGCCGGTGGAGGCTACTCTACAACACTAAGGAGAGCACCGCATCGCCGGTGCAGAGAGCAGCCACAGGAACCAAAGGTTTGTCAATCTTCCAGGACATATTGCTAGGTGATGCATCGGCCCTGCCGCGCGTCGTCAATGTCGTGGAGTTTGGCAGTCTTGGGAAGTTGGAGGTGGGCAGCGCGGGGTGCAGGGTGGGTTGGAGGGGAGCGACGGCTCAGGTGTATAAACCCAAGACCTGCAAACTGTTGTCATTGACTGTTCATCCCCTCAGCTTGCATGGAAGAGCAAGCCATCCAGCAACCGCGATAGCACTGTCTTGCAGGTGGAGGCGCAGGCCAGCACCACTGATAGGCCACTGGAGGGCTTCATCCCCCGCTCTGGTGCCGGCCTGCCCTTTGGCATCCTGGGCGTCAGTTCCACCCAGCCGCCCGACAAGCCACACACCCGCATAGATTTTCAGTTCAGCAGGGCCGCCTTCAAGAGCTCGAAGATCCCCTTCCAGGTCCCCTACCCCGTCCCCTTTCGCTTGCTGGGGGACGAACGCAAGGTGAAGGGATGTCACAGGGTGGGAGGGGGGTCGGTGAGGCAGCACAGGGGGCTGAGCAGGTGGGGGTTGCCGGGGGTCGCGATTGCACAGAGGCAGGCCGCATCCCTGCTCATGGCCACGCTGCCCCTTCCGGTGCTTCCTCAGGGATGGATAGACACCACGTACCTCGCGCGAGACGGCCGTCTCCGCATCGCGAGGGGTAACAAGGGCACGGTCTTCATCCTCGCCAAGGATGACCCGCCTGCGAGCTGAGCCCAGCTTGAACTTCCAGCAGCCACCCTGACCCACGCCGAGCGCAGCTGCATCGTCTCATGTAGTAAAAAAGCTGTTGTGAATCAGAAGGGGTGACGGCTGTTAGAATGCATGTCTGGCTGTAATACTTGCTGCACAATTGCCAGTGTGCAGGCGTAGTCACCTGGCGTGCCTGCTCCCTGCCTGGATTGATGGCACGACATCCGTAGCTGAATTGAATCTCAATTATCCCAGGTCCCACCAGATACAATAGCAGTTCCCAGGACACCCTGATTGGTACCTGGTACGGAAGTACTTTAACATGGCAATGGAGTCTTCAATGTCGGCCATGGCAGTGTGCTTGTTCCTCCCTCTTGGCCTCGCCTGGAACACGCCGCGCTTCCATCTCTTGGCCAGCTCCACAACCGTGGTCACGTCGACTATCCTGAGGACCCAAGGCCAAGACAGGGCGGCTGCTCAGGCAGTGGGCCAAGGCAGCACACCGGGTCAACAAACCTTAACAGCAGGAGGTGGCATGGCGGCTGAGTGGCAGCCTGCAAGATCCAATCCCTGCCAACCTGTGGTCCAGGCGTTCTGCCAAGCGCGGCATGTGCACCCTGAGGAAAGCGAGGTCGGTGTGGACGCTGGAGCCTGCAAGCTGCGCCTTGTGGTTGGCCAGGATGTGTTTGTCCAGAAATTCCAACACCTGACGCTCAGCCGCTGCAAGGTCGATGGTGCTCTTTGTCACTGCCTGTCAAGTGAAGGAGACTTGCTTTAAATCGGGGTGGGTGCTAGGGGTGATGAACATCCTTCTTCCTCAACGGTCAAGTGTCTCCAGCACCCACTATGCATGGGCAACTAGTAGCTCGCATTCCCCAGGGCCTGGTAACGCACCTCCTTCAGACCGCTGCTGGTGTGGTGCTCCTGGCACCACTCGTTCATTCCCTCCAGCACATCCACTGGCTGGTAGATGACGATCTCAGGACCTTGAACTTCCTCGGTGAGAGTGCCATTGGTGAGGATGACGGCAACTTGAAGAATGGCGTCCTGTGCAGGGTCTAGCCCTGACATTTCGAGGTCCAGCCATACCAGTGGGAGCTTGAGGCGGCCGGGGTGGTCTCGAGGGGTGTTCTGGGCCGGCAGGGCATCCCCCAACTCTTGCAGCGCCATGAAGGCATTGGAGGATGGCATGCTGCCGCAAAGGCAAGGGGCGCAGCCTGCTAAGCAGCTTGGAAACGACGATGTCTCAAGCACATCTCATAGATGTCCCGATAGGACCTAGGGAAGTGAGGATCGCCTCTGATGTTAGTGGCGGTTTCGCCTTTTCGAGGGGGCACGGTTCACCCTACTAACGCAGGTCGCTAGCATGATCGTTATCGAGGCGCTCACTGCATATACTCAATACGCATGACACTGATAATGATTGTGTGTGGTGGAAGCGATTATGGTTGTGGGGGAAGGACATGCAAGCGTTTACTCTGTGCACACCCCGCACCGCGCGCGCGAATCGGAAGGGGAAGACCTCGACCTCTGCTGGACGAACTAAGAGTCTGCACCGACAACATCCTCTTGTACCAAACAATCTTGCACGAAATCTCTTCTGTTTACAGGCACAATCTTGATCACAAGCTTGAATCACGGTTGCCCCTGGTGGGAGCAGCCATGACGAGTTGCCTGGTGTCGAGAGTTCGCCACAGCGAGCTCGCGACCCTCATACGAAACGGCTGGTGTGCATCCATGCTCTTGATCAGATCTCAATCAAACGATGTGAGACCCGTGATCCACTCGCCCAGCACCTCCCCACCGCCTGTCCCTCCTCCTGCGCCCAAGCCTTGCCGTACAAACGTGACCTGGGATGTGATGGCTGGGCGGGGCCTGAAACCCAAGGAGCAACCGAAGGCCACACGAGATGTTCAAAGTCTACAGGCAGCCCTCCTGGAGTCGGCGCTGGGCCATGTGGTGAGGAGGAGGCGGTGAAGGGTTCAGGTAACTTGCTGCTGGCATGGAAGCGCAAGTGCCAGCTGAAGGTAACTGTCCTTGCTTGGCTGAACCCACATCACACCTCCTCTCCATTCCTCGTAGCCGACCCTTGGATGGTCAAACTCTGCGATGCACCAGGCTGCTCTGGACAATGACCTCTCCCCGGCGGCAGCTGGGCTCCTTGGCGATGCCCCCTCTGATCTGGTCAAGGTGGGGTGAAGGTGTAGGGGCTGAGCATGCGCTCCCTGAACTCCCCCTTTCATGCAAGGATGGCCCCGTTTTCCAATAAAACCACGCTCATCACTCATGCAGCATCAACATAAACCCACCATCAGGCCTTCCTTGCTCGCTGCAATTTTGAGTTGGAGGAGGCTCTACTGGAGGAAGGGCCCCAGTTGGAGCTCTGTCCCCTGCATGCCAGAATCGTGGCTGCTCTGCGGCAACGTATTGAGATGATCGTGCCATACAAAGGTGTGTGCGTTGTTGTGTTGAATGACGTGTTGGGGTGCATTGGTGTCACAGAGTGTGGCAACGGAACGAAGGGAAGTGGCAGTGCATTAAACATCAAATCCGTGGCTTCAGGTTTGAGATTACCACTGACTCATCCACTGCACTTGCAGCCTCCTGGGCCGGTGCACTGGCGACCCTGGGATCGCCGGTTGCCGCCATGGAGCTCTACATGGACGCCGCAGGCATCATCTGGAGGGCGGTGGGTGACGAGTCCGAGGACCTCACGTGGTGAGCTGTGGTCTTGATGAATGTTCAATCATCTCAACAGGGTGTAAAGGACCATGATGAGGTTTTATGGCCCAGTTCTGCTGGACACAACACTCACCTGGGCGCTGTCTCAGATCCAGAAACCACTCGTGGGCCTCAGGCTGGCGCATCGCACCGTCTTGAGCGGGGTGCTGGCTTCCTCAGAGCTGTATCTGCTCACGGACAACAGCCCTGGGCACGAGGACACCTGGGCGGCGGTGGACCGGGCCGTGGGCGAGGCGCTGAAACTACTGGGCAGCTCTGATGCGGTCGGGGGGGCTCTCGGGGGCCTGCGAGACAAGGCCTACGCCACCATCCTGGATGTGATGGCATCCAGGCGCGGATGAGGCAATATTTGTCAGGCCACAGTGTTTTGTAGCCTGGCTTCAGTGTGTCTCCTTGCCTGGTGAGGAGTAATGGATCATGTCAGTTTTGTTGGCACTCCTAGAGATGGGAGCAAATTCTACCACAGTAACTCCACGCAGAGCCTGACAATTCTACTCCAAGTCTAGATGCGGGCACACGGGGTCCTCCACAATCCGTACATCACCAGGGTGACTGCCTGAGAAACCTGTGTGGCCATCTCCAAATCAGCTGGGTGCCGACCATGTTCATCCGCGCGCTGGAGCGGAGGCGCGACGGTGCGCAATGTCGCCAATGGGCTTCATGCATGCAGGAGTGCACAACGCCCGCACATGCAACGGCACGGCCGACATCAGCAAACCCATACATTGCATTGTATGTTGGTACGGGCATTGCACGGGCTGCGCTCCACACTACCGTGGCCTCGCCTGTCGGCTGCAGGGCTCTCCGCCAGGCCCAGCGTCAGGCCCCTGGCACGGCTGTGCCGGCAGGAGACGCTCGCCATGTCCCAGAGTGTGGAGTCAGGGCCGGCAGTGCACTACAGCGCGGCCCTCACATCCATAGATGCCAGCCAGTACGAGGCACAGCTGGCCACCAAGGTGGCTTGGCTGGAGACCCTCTTCCAGGATCTGGAGCACCCACCCTTTGCCATCCACCGCTCGGAGCCCGAGAATTTTCGCATGAGGTGAGGACAAGAGTGACAGCCCAATCAAGAGCCTCTCCCTTCCCACCTTCAGTGGCTATCGTCCTTCGTCCTCCCACCAGCTTTAGACACTCTGCCTCTTGGATCCCTCCCGCAGGACCGAATTTGATGTGTGGCACTCCGGCGACAGCCTGGAGTTCCAGATGTTTGAAAAAGACCCCAAGACCGGCGAGCGCAGGCCTGTGCGCGTGGACCAATTTCCCGTGGCCTCCAAGCTCTGCAACTCCCTCATGACGGCCCTGCTGAGGGAGCTGCCGCTGTGCCAGGAGCTGCGTTCGAAACTCTTCCAGGCGCGCAGGAGGTGTGGGTGGTGCGGCGATGAAGTCGAGGATGGGTATCTTCGTCCAAGCCTGCATGGGGCTTCATGAATTGACCAAGGGACATGATGAGACAGCTGGCCAACCCAGGCTTCTCCTCCATCTCCCTCCATGAACCAGGTTAACCTGCACACGACCCTGAGCGGGCAGGCCATGGTCACCCTCCTGTACCACAGGAAGCTCGGGGATGCATGGCAGGAAGCTGCCCAGAAGCTGCGGGTCTGCCTGGGCGACCTGGCGTCCCCCATCCACATCATCGGTCGCAGCAGGTGGGGGGGGCCTGCCACTGGTTTGGATGCCTGCATACCCCAGCAGTGGTGTTGACGGTCGCATGTCTGCTGCGGCCTGACATGGTATGACCGCCCTTGTGCTGAGGCCCTGCCATGCTGCGGCAAAGGTGTGGCAGTCATGGGCACCCTGTGCCGGATCACACACAAGGCCGCCCTGCCTTCAATGTGTGTTGGCCTCGACAGGCACCTGTGGCTGCCCATCCCCCACCCAAACCCCTCTCCTCTCCTCCATCACGCAGGGGCCAGAAGATCTGCCTGGACGCGGACGAGGTGGAGGAGACCCTCACGGTTGAGGGCCAGACGCTGCGCTACGTGCAGGTGGAGGCCAACTTCTCGCAACCCAACGCGGGCATCTCGGTGCAGATGTTGGCCTGGGCGCGGCGCGCGGCGCAGGGCAGCGGCGCGCGCGACCTGCTGGAGCTGTACTGCGGCAACGGCAACTTCACAGCGGCGCTGGCGCCGCGCTTCCGCCGCGTGGTCGCCACCGAGGTAAGCAAGCGCAGCGTGGCCGCGGCGCGGCGCAACTGCGCCCAGAACGGTGTGAACAACGTGTTCCTGGCTCGCATGCGCTCCGAGGAGTTCACCGAGGCCTGGAGGACGGGGGGCAAGAAGGAGAGGTGCGGGGGGTCTGGGCTGGTGGCAAAGTACTCCTTGCTTGAGGACAGGGGGTGAGGTGGAATTCGTCTCTCTTGTAAGCATGGTGCTCGCAGGAGGTAGCTATACTGTGGGTCGGTAAGGGATGTTCAGCGCCTGCCCGTGGTTCCCATGCTTCCCAGTATGCGACTCGTGTGAGCTTGAGGCTGCAGGGTATCTCCTCTCGTTCCCCTGATCGAGCCGTCCACACATCTCAGCCCTCACTCTCTCTCAACTCCCACACTGCACAGGCTAAAGGGGTTGGATCTCGTAGAGTGTGACTTCCAGACCCTGTTGGTGGACCCACCCCGAGCAGGCTTGGACCCGGACACCCTTCAGCTCCTCCATGAATTCGACAATGTCATCTACATCAGCTGCAATCCTGGCACGTGACAGCAGGGGACAGATGTCAAGGGGGTGCCTGTACATCAGAGATCATGCAGGGGTACCCTTTCCTGTGCATTTTTTTGGTCTGCGCCATGCTCATATGTTTCGTGCCATCACAGGATTCTCCACCGCGCGTCGTCTCCACAATACTCCCCCCCCCCCCAACCACGCCATGTACAGAGACGCTCCATGCCAATCTGGTGGCTGTCAAGGATACCTTCGACATAGTGGAGTATGCGGTCTTCGATCAGTTCCCCTGGACCCCCCACATTGAGAGTGGAGTGTATCTGCAACGGAAGGCTGGAGCACCACGGCCGCCGAAATCATCCAGTATCCCCGATGTCGCTCCGGAGAACACGGCTGCTCCACAGGGCGTAAAACGGAAAGCAGAAGGGATAGAGGTCGCATCTTAATTTTAAAATGCTTGAACTCCCGGATTTGGACGAGCCTGGTGTCGAAATCCTTAGAAGGAATAACATGGGAGCTGCGGCCCCCCCCTTCCTCCGGCGAACAACTCCGGACATGAAATCGTCCCAGCCTCGAGGAGGGGCAAGAGATCCGGACCTCTATTTCGGGGCCGAGGTCCGGCAATTGATGCAGAACCTGCTCCAGCAGCCCATCAAACTCCGTGTTGAAGCATCCAATTCTGCGATTCATACGCTAGTGAGTAGATGCACGGCTCCTGAGAAGGAATGGATGCTGCCGAACATCGCGAGCGCTCGCATAAGTACTGCACCTCTGACTGGGCCCATCTCCCCGGTGAGCTGCTAGCACCGGTGCGACCGGTCTGATGAATACCTTGAAAATTCGATAAGGAGTTGTTCGTCGTTGAGAGGAACCTGGGAGCCTACTAAGAGGCCCATCTCGTCTCTTCGGACCCCTTGTAGGTGTTCGATTGGCTGTGGAGCAGCCCTGCCTCCTGTGCATCCATCAATGAGACTTGCAAGAACTGGCACCACCTTGTGCACGCCAAAGCCCCAAATCTTTATCCCAGGGTGAGTTTGTGGGCATGACACATGCTTGGTGACCTTGAGATGGGATAAGCAGGTGCTGGAGCTGCTAGAGGGTCAGGATGGCTGCCCAAATGGTACCAAGCAGTGCCAGATTGCGGGCACCACACCACACTCCTGCTCCGCAGGGTCGAGCCTTTGCTTACGAGCGCTTCAAAAGCGTGCAGAGACTCCATTTTTCAGAGCGGACCCATCACCTGACGTCCCGAGAACTGGCTCATGCAGTGCAAGGTTTGTGGTTTCCCAGCCTGCTCTCGAAAGTATCGAGGTGGACCGCTCCTGGCTGGTAGTGCAATCATCCCCGATCAGACGACATTCAAGGAAAATCCACTCTTCTCTACCCCCTCCAGCGACCATGCGCACGCTGGTGGAGGTCCATCTGAGTGACACGTGCAGCGGCATAGTAGTGGCCCCGCTTCAGGATTGTGTGCATCTCCGCCGCCTGACCTTATCCAGAACGAGTGTTAAGGATGGGGCTCTGGCATCGCTGCTCAGGTGAGGCAGCATGGTAGGGAGCCTCAGAGTGCTTCTTGGCATGGTCGCATTGATCTCTGCACTGGTGTACCCATTTCATGCCGTCACAGTGTGTCAGGCACAGCGCACCTCCATTGCCTGTTCCCAGAGGCAAGATCTGTACGCCCTTGTCGGCACTTTCGGTATGTTTACATCGCACTGTACCATCCCTTGACCACCTTCTGGGAGCCTTACCATCCTCGTCTCTCTCCACCCCTTTCAGGCATTTACCAGACCTCCGGCACCTGGAGATTGTACACTGCCATTCGCTGAGAGGTGCCTTTATGACCAGCCTGGATGCCTGCCCCCTCCTCACTTTCTTGGCAGTTCAAGACTGCGAGTCGCACATCACGGAAGCGGGATTGCAGGCGGTGGCTCGGCTGAGTCACCTTGCGGCCCTGAAGTTGGAAACCTACTCTCTGCCGTACTCACCCATCTCCTTCAAGGCCATGTTGGAACACCTGGGAAGCCTGAGGTGTGCAGGAACCTGGGGGGTGTCGTTGCTGGCAATGCCCTTGGTGCCCTCACATGAGGCTCTGATCCCACCTCCCCCATCCTTTCACCCCAGGCCCCTTCTCACCTTCTCAGGTTGTTCTCCATGAACACCACCTGGTCATTCTCCAACGAACACCTTCAGTGTCTGGCAGACAGCCCCTGCGCCCCTTTCCTGGAAGAACTGGACCTGTCGCGGACCAGCATCGCCACAGGGTGCGCTAGGCAAAAGGTTCATCTCCACTCTCTACTGGTTGATGTCACTTCATTGGCATGACTGATGCATGCCCGAGCGGCGGAGCCGGAGGCAGCAAAGGGGGCCTGCATGAGACTGCTGGGCCCGAGTACCTGTTTCTGCGCGACATAGATGGGTCCCCCTTCACACCGGTGCACTCCACAGTACGGACAGCAATGCCTGGGCCATACTGCTCTCGTTCCCCTCCCTGCGGAGACTGCGTCTTGCCAACTGCCGCCTGGATGCAAACAGGCGGGGGTCGGCAGCCATTGCTGCTCTGCTGCGACACCTGGACCTTTTGGAGGAGCTGGACATCTGCCACACCCCCGAGCTGAGCGCCAAGGCGCTGCGCCTGGTCCTGGCCGCCAGCGGCGCCGGGCTGCGCGCACTGACCCTGGAGCTGCCCGCCGGGCGGCTCACGCGGCTGCCCCCGCCTCCCCGCGTGCTCGCGCTACGCACGCTGCGCCTGCGTGCCCCCGGCGTCGACGCCGCCAGCGTGCTGCCCATCCTCCGTGCCTGCGCGCCCAGCCTGGTCCACCTGGACGCCAGCTTCGCGCTGGCTGACTGCACCGTCTCGACGGGCGCCGTGGCCGCCACGCTGGGCGCGCTGCGCGGCCTGCACGAGCTCAGCTTGCGCGACTGCGCGGGACTGCGCAAGGGACACCTGGCCTCGCTGGGCACGCTGACCGACCTGCGCCAGTTGGAGGTGCACGCGGAGCTGCGGGCCGGGAAACCGCCCGGGGAGCTGGCGGGGCTGGGGCGCCTGCAGGCCCTGGAGAGCCTGCGCCTGCAGGGCGTCCGCCCCGACCCCGCCGACCTCCCGGACCTGCGCGGCCTGAGGGCCCTGTGCCTCGACACCCGCGAAGACGCGCGGTGGATGCGGCGCGCGGCGGCCGTGGGGCCCTGCCCCCAGGTGCGCAGCCTCGCCCTGGTCGGGCGCGTCCAGCTGGGCCAGCTGGGCTGGGCGGTCGAGGCCTTCCCCGGTCTGCAGAGGGTGGACGTCATCTGCAATGGCACGGTCCCCAACCTGGAGCTGCTGGCTCTGCAGGAGCTCCCCCGCCTCCATTGTCTCAGCGTCAGAAGGTGGGTGGGGCGAGGCCGGTGGCGAGCGGGTGGTGTGCTGGGGCAGGGGCAGGTCGGGCGGGCGTGTGCGAGACGGGCTCGCTTCCCTGACGCCCTCCCCGCGTTCACACAGCAGCGCCGGAGGGAACGCATCCCTATCGTTGGGGTGGGTCTGGGAGGTGTTCCCGGCGCTGGAGCGGCTCAACAGCAGGTGGCGCGGGGAGGTTTTCCACGAGGAGGAGGTGGAGAGCTGGGTGTTGCACCGCTACCGGGCCCTGCTGAAGCGACGGCTGGGTGCCCCATTGTAGACGCCTCGAAAAGTTACACGCTAGGATTTAGACGGCCCGTACATGGTGCAGCCTGCATGCCAAGAACACATGGGTCCTTTTCCGCTTTGCGGTTGCCGGGGTCCACGCACGACACCCACGGGTGCATTTCCACGTGGGACATACAACACTCGGAAGAAATAGCAAGCCTTGCCCAATCAGAATCTGCAAACGCCAGCCATTGTGCATATCCATTGATCCCAGTGCTTGCATGCATTGCAACCATGAAATATATATCCCAAGCGGGCCTTGACAATACAGGTTTCCCACGCACGCACTGGGCATCTCATGAGCATGCTTGGTGACCAGTTGTCCTGCCTGGCATTTAATCACGGCCTTCCCAGCTCAGAAGCGGTGCCTCGGCGAGGCCCAGCTGAGGTGGAGCTGGTCCACGAGGGGCGAGACTGGCGAGACCTGGAGGGAAGGGGCACGGCTGGCGTGCCGTGTGGCCTCCGGCCGGTCCAGTCTCATGCTGGCGTGGAGGGCGAAGGCTGAGAAGGGGGGCATAGGGTCCTGGCTGGGGGCAGAGGGATTGTGTTTTGGGAGGGGAGTAGCCTCTTTTGCAAGAATGTGGCTTGAAGGGGCCAATAGAATTGGGGGCCATGGCGGGTTGGTGATGGGATCTCTGTTGCCTGCTTTGGTTCCCATGCCTTCCCATACGGAATCCTTGTCAGCTTGGGAGTGCACGATATCTCCACTCATTCCTATGGACGAGCCCTCAACACACTCTGTCATCAGCTCTCCCGAATTCTAACACGCTGAAGTACCTGGATACTTAAGAGTATGACTTCCAAATCCTGTTGGTGGACCCAACCCAAGTAGGCACGGATCCAGGCACTCCGCAGCTGCTCCTTGAAGTAGACATTATAATATACATCCGCTGCAACTCAGGCATGCGACGGCAGGGGGCTGCAAATGAGGGATGAATCTACATCTGAACGGCTGTAGGGAAATTACTCAAGGTCAGTTACAAGTCACTGACGTGCTTTGCACACTCCTTGTATGAAGGCCTCAATTTACCGAGCCCATCAACACACTTCACACCACCCAACGCCATGTGTACAGACGCTCCATGCCAATCTGGTGGCATTCAAGGACATATTGGACATGGTGAGGGATGCAGTGTTTGACCAAGTCCCCTGGGAACCCCACATTGAGAGTGGGGTATTCGTCAGCCAAGCCCCAGGTACAGCGCGGCCGCCGAAATCATCGGTCTCCCCCGTGGTCGCTCCGGGGATACCGTTCCTCCACAGAGAGTAAAACGGAATGCCGCAGGAGCACAGGCTACTGAAGATGATTCTTAGAAGGCATGTTTTATAGAATTCGATACAGCGCAATCTGGAAATGTGCACACCGGGGGGAAGCTGAGGTTCCGATCATTCATTGTTACCCGCCAAGAGAACGAGCAGGAAATCCGGAAGAAGTTTGTAGGGTCGAGGTCCCGGACTTAAGACCCATCCTGCTCCATCAGCCGATAAAATCCCGTATAAGCATGCAAAATTTTGCAAATCATATGTTTTCGCATAGATCTACAGCTTCTGTGGAGGTATGTATGCTGTTGACGCTCTCGAGCACTCGCACATCTACCGTACCCCCGACTGGGCCCAGCTTCCCGAGAATCTCCTGGCCCAGGTGCGACCGGTCCGATGTCTTCTATGGTGTGTTTTTGTATGTGGGTGGGTATGGGACGGTGCCCCGGACCCTTCCTTCTGCACCATTGCTTCGCTCCGACCCCCCTCCGCAGGTGTTCGGATGGTTGTGGAGCAGCCCTGCCTCCTGTGCCTCCATCAGTGAGGCTTGCAAGACCTGGAGACATGTAGTACACAACACATGCCCAAATTTGTATCCAAGGGTGCGTGGAAGGGCACGGTCCCATGTGTGCTGGCATTCTGATTGGGCAAGTAGGGAGCTGCCGGCTGCCACCGGGTCAAGATGCCTGCCCAAATAACATCCACATGCAAGATTGCGGCATCACACCGCAATGCCGCTTTGCAGGGCCGGGCATTTGCATACGAGCGCTTCAGCAGCGTGCAGAGACTTGACTATGCAGCGCGGGCCGTCCACCTGACATCCGGAGAGCTGGCTCGCGCGGTGCAAGGTACATGCTTTCTCGTCAAAGGTTCAAATCATTGAGGGGGGTGGCTCACTGGCAATGGAGTCACAGGCAGTCAAGAGATACTGAGGGGAACTTCATCACCCTCTGCACCCTGCAGTGACCAAGCACACGCTGGTGGACGTCCACCTGAGTGGCACGTGCAGCGGCATTGAAGTGGCACCCCTGCAGGAGTGCGTGCATCTGCGCCGTCTGTCCTTCAGCGACACAGATGTCAGGGATGTTGCTCTGGCATCGCTGCTCAGGTGGGTTGGGACAGGGGGACCCGCAGGGTGCGCCTCGGGATGGTTGCATCGCATCGGTGTGTTTGGACCAAGTCATTGAGCACAGCGCAGCTTCATAGGAGGTTTAGGAGGCAAGGCCTCTAGCCACTGCTGCAACCATGGGAATGATAACGCTGGTCGTGTATGATGATTGACCACCCTCTGGCGGCCTGGTCACCCCCATTTACTCACCCCAAATTCCAGGCATCTGCCCGAGCTCGGGCACCTGGGTCTCTCCCACTGCTATCACCTTCGGGGGGACTTCCTGTGCATCCTGGATGCCTGCCCCCTCCTGACTTCCTTGGCAATCTACCACTGCGGGATGCACATCACGGAACTGGCTCTGCAAGCGGTGGCCCAGCTCAGCCACCTGGAAGTCCTGAGTTTGGAGTTTTGCGACTTGCTGTTCCCACCCAGCTCCCTGCAGGCCACGCTGGAGCATCTGGGGAGCCTGAGGTGTGCAGGGGCTGGAAGAGAGTGTTGCTGGCACCCCTTGATGCATTCCCTTGCCCAAGACAAATCCAGTTGTACAGGCACGGCCACCCAAACTCCCCACCGTCGCGTCACAGGTCATTCTCCATGGCCGGCAACACAGCATTTACCAACGACTACCTAAAATGTGTGGCGGGCAGCCCCTGCGCCCCTTTGCTGGAAGACCTGGACCTGTCGCGGACCAGCATCTCCACCATGTGCGCTGGGGTAATCTATCCATTCTGTGCTGTTCACCTCACGTGCTTGGCCGAGTCCGGCACAGGCCCAAGCGGCGGAGCCTGGGGGCGGTGCAGAGGGGGCCTGCATGAGACTGCTGGGCCCGTGTACCTGCGTCAGCGTCGACTGGAACCCCCCAAATCACAGCATCTCACACCGCAGGGGCGACCCGGGCGCGTGGGTCTTGCTGCAGCACTTCCCCTCCCTGCGGCGCCTGCGCCTGGCCGACTGCAGCCTGGTCCAGGGCGTGGATGCCATGGCCGCGCTGCTGTGGCGCCTGGGTTCGCTGGAGGCGCTGGACCTCTGCCGCGCCCCCGGGCTGAACGCCGAGGCGCTGCGCCTGGTGCTGGCCGCCAGCGGCGCCGGGCTGCGCGAGCTGGCGCTGGAGCTGCCCTCCCGCTGGCGCGCGCCGCTGCCCCCGCCCCACCCGGGGCTCGCGCTGCGCGCTCTGCACCTGGACGCCGGCGGCGTGGGCGCGGCCAGCGTGCTGCCCATCCTGCGCGCCTGCGCGCCCACCCTGGTCCGTCTGTTCGTCGCCTTCTCGCTGGCGCGGCGCGACGCCACGCCAGACGCCGTGGCCGGCGCGCTGGGCACGCTGCGCGGCCTGTGCGAGCTGACGCTGCAGGGGTGCGCTGGACTGCACGAGGGGCACCTGGCCACGCTGGGCACGCTGACCGACCTGCGCCGCCTGCAGGTGCACGCGCAGCGGCGGCCCCGGGTGTGGTACCCGGAGCTGGCGGGGCTGGGGCGCCTGCAGGCCCTGGCCAGCCTGAGCCTACAGGGCTTCCGCCCCGACCCCGCCGACCTCCCGGGCCTGCGCGGCCTGCGCTTCCTGCGCCTCGACGCCTCCGCCGACGCGTTCTGGATGCGGCGCGCGGCGGCCGCGGGGCCCTGCCCCCAGGTGCGCACCTTTGCCCTCATCGGGTGCATGGAACCCGAGTCGCTAGACTGGCTGGCCCAGGCCTTCCCGGGCCTGCAGGACCTGGGCGTGGCCTGTGCCGGCACGATGGCGCAGGAGCAGCTGCTGCCTCTCCGCCAGCTCCCCCGCCTCCAGCACCTGAGCGTCGGGAAGTGAGTAGGGCGGGGCGCGGATGTGCGGGTTTTGTGCGTGGGCAGGGGCTGGGTGGAGTCGAGCAGAGGGCCGGCATGGTGCAGGGGTGCAGACCGAGCCCGTCCCCAGCCACGCCCCCCCCCTTCCCCACTGGCGTTCCACCCAGCACTGCCATGGCGCGTGCGCACCAGATGGACTGGATCTGGACGGACTTCCCGGCGCTGGAGTACTTTGGGACGTCGGGATGTGTGCACTCTGAACCCAAGGTGGAGGAGGACTGTGTCATGCAGGCACAGCTGGCAGCGGAGGAGTAGAGGCAGGATGCCCCATCTCAGTCGCCTCTCAATGTTAAAGGCTTGGGACTTGGTGGCAAATGGTGTACGACAGCCCGCATGCCAAAATAGATAGATCCCAAACCGCTTTTCGAAATTTGTGGCCCGCACATGACACTCCCTGGTGCAGCTTTATATTGGAGAATTGACAATCAGCAGGAAACCGCCCCTTACCCCAACTTCAAATTGCAAACCCCTGCCTCTCTGCACATACATGTACCCAAGTGCTTGCATGCATGGCAAGCATGTAAACAGTTTTCCAAGCCAGGCTTGACAAGAAGAATTTTAGGACCATGCACTGGGCAATCACAGGAGCGTGCCTGGCTTCTCACTTCCTCACCTGGCATCCAGCCAGGTTGTTCCCAAGCTCAGAAGCGGTGCCTCGGCGAGGCCCAACTGAGGTGGAGCTGGTCCACGAAAGGCGAGACTGGCGAGACCTGGAGGAAAGGGGCACGGCTGGCGTGCCGTGTGGCCTCCGGCCGGTCCAGTCTCATGCTGGCGTGGAGGGCAAAGGCTGAAAAGGGGGGCTTAGGGTCCTGGCTGGGGGCAGAGGGATCGTGTTTTGGGAGGGGAGTAGCCTCTTTTGCAGGAATGTGGCTTGAAGGGGCCAATAGAATTGGGGGCCATGGCCGGTTGGTGATGGGATCTCTGTTGCCTGCTTTGGTTCCCATGCCTTCCCATACGGAACCCTTGTCAGCTTGGGGGTGCACGATATCTCCACTCGTTCCCATGGCCGAGCCCTCAACACACTCTGTCATCAGCTCTCCCGAATTCTAACAGGCTGAAGGACCTGGACCTTGAAGGAGTGCGAATTTCTGGCCCTGTTGCTAGGCCCACCTCGAGCAGGCCTGTACCCCTGCACGCTGGAGCTCCTCCATGATTTATGGAACGTCATCAACATCAGATGCAATCCAAGCACGTGACATCAAGGTAAACATGATTGAGGGTACACCTGTACATCAAAGCATTTACGGGGGGAACCCATTTCCCGTGCACACTTCAAGGTGATTGCCAGGCTTCTCAGATCTTCCAATTCGAGGACTGTCCTCACTGGGCCCTGTCAATACACTCAATATCCATCCAATGCCATGTGCGATACATGGAATGAGGGCTTTGGTGAAAGCGCGATGTGGAAATGTGCACACCAGGGGCAAGCTGAGGTTCCGGACAGCATTGGTCATCCGCCGAGAGATCTGGCAGGGATCCGGACCTCGTTTTGAGGGGTTGATGTCCTGGACTTAAGACAGGCCCTCCTCCAATAGCCCATCTAATTCCATTACAACGCGCTTAAATCTGCAGAATATACGCTATATCGTACATGCACAACTACTGAGAAGGCATGGGTGCTGTCGAGCCTCTTGAGCACTCGCACATCTATCGTGGACCCGACTGGACCCAGCTCCCCGAGGAGCTGTTGGCGCAGGTGCGGCCGGTATGATAACCCACAGAACCAATTCACAAGCGGTGGTTCGTTTCGCAACACATCTCTGGACGCTTCTGCCGGGGCCAACACTTCACTCCGACCCCCCTCCGTAGGTGTTTGGATGGATGTGGGACATCCCTTCCTCGTGTGCCTCCATTAGCCAGACTTGCAAGACCTGGCACTATGTGGTTCTAGGCAAATGCCCGACCTATACCCAAGGGTGCGTCGAAGGGCATGGTCTCATGTGGGGTGGCTTTCAGATTGGGCAGAATTGGAGCTGTCGGGGGTCCATAATCCGGAGCTACAATTGACACTTCGTGACAAGCTGGCGACACAAACCCACACTGCTGCCCTGAAGGGCCGTGACTGTGCATATGAGCGCTTCAATAGCGTGCGACATATCGACTATGGCGCGCGAGCCTTTCACATGACATCCAAAGAGCTGGCTCGTGCAGTGCACGGTAGGTGGTCACTCATCAAAGGTTTGAAGCATTGAGGGGATCGCTCATTGATTAAGCAGTCTGAAGCGATCAAGAGATACTGAAGGGAACCTCCTCATCCCCTGCAATCTGCAGCAACCAAGCACACGCTGCTGGAGATTCACCTGACCGACAAGTGCCGCACTGTAGATGTTTCACCCCTGCAGCAGTGCGTCCATCTACGCCGCCTGTCCCTCAGAGAAATGGATGTCACGAATGAGGCCCTGGAATCGCTGCTCAGGTGCGGTAGGATAGGAGGGAGCCGCAGAGTGCTCCTAAGGAAGGCTATATAAAAGCTGCATTGATTGTTTGGACCCTTGAGATTCCGACATGTTGGGTTCACTGCAGCTCGATGTGGTTATTAATGGCAGGGTCTGCCCGCGTTTGCCGTAGTTTGTGGCATGATCCCTCCGCACCTCACCATCCATTGAACATCTTCTGGCGGTCTGGTACATCCCTGCTTCCTCGCCCCTACTTTCAGGCACCTGCCAGAACTCCGGCACTTGGATGTCGATGGGTGTAATCACCTGCAGGGAGATTTCATGCTCAGCCTGGATGCCTGCCCCCTCCTGACGTCGTTGGCAGTCCACATGCGCGGATGGCACATCACAGAAGCAGTTTTGCAGGCTCTGGGTCGGCTCCGCCGCCTTGTGGTCCTGAAACTGGAGACTTGTGGCCTTGGGATCCACCCCAGCTCCCTGCAGGCCATGTTGGACAACCTGGGGAGCCTGAGGTGTGCAGGGACTGGACAAGGAAATGTTGCTGACTCTGACCGAGTTTTCTGTCTGAGAAGATCCACCAATACCTTCCCTTCAACCTCCACCCTGAGTTCTCATCGTAATGTCGCAGATCGTTTTCCATGGAGAACAGCCAAGAATTTACCAACGATTTCCTTGAATGTCTGGCAGACAGCCCGTGCGCCCCTCTACTGGAAGAGCTGGACTTGGCATATACTGACATCTCCACCATGTGCGCCTGGCTTGAGGAGAAATCTTCCTTTCTGCTGTTGAAATTGTGCGATCGCCACGTCTGGACACACACTCAGGTGGTGGAGCCGGAGGCAGTGAGGGGGCCTCCAAGAGGCTTCCGGACCCTTCTCTCTACGTAACCGTGAGATGAAGCCCTCAACACCCTCATTCTCACACTGCAGGGGCGGGCAGGATGCCTGGGGCCTGCTGCTCTCCTTTCCCTCCCTGCGGCGCCTTCGCCTGGTTGGCTGCAAGCTAGGCTCAGGCGAGGGGGCCGGGGATGCCGTGGCTGCACTGCTGAGGCGCCTGCCCATGTTGGAGGCGCTGGACCTTGGCTGCGACTCCGAGCCGGGCACCGAGGTGCTGCTTCAGTTCATGGCCTCCTGTGGGCCCAGGCTGCGCGAGCTGGCGCTGACGGTGCCCACCGAGTGGCGCGCGCCGCTCCCCCCCCCCCTCCGTGGCTCGCGCTGCGCGCGCTGCGCCTGCAAGCCAATGGCGTGGGCGCGGACAGTGTGCTGCCCATCCTCCGCGCCTGCGCGCCCAGCCTGGTGAGCCTGGATGCCAACTTCTCGCTTGCGGGAGACACTGCCACGCCAGCCGCCGTCCCCGACGCGCTGGCGGGCCAAGTCGTTAGGCCGAACGTCTTTGCTGCCGCGATGGCGGGCCACACCGTCCAACCAAGCGGCTTTGCTGCCACGTTAGGCGAGCTGCGCGGCCTGCGCGAGCTTACCCTCCAGTATTGCGTGGGGCTTTGTGCGGGCCACCTGGCCGCGCTGGGCATGCTCACCGACCTCCGCCGCCTGGAGGTGCACACCTGTCAGTGGGAAGCACCTTGGGACTGGGGCCCGTCAGGGCTGGGAGACCTGCAGGGACGGGACCTTGCGGGGCTGGGGCGCCTGCAGGCCCTGGAGAGCCTGAGCCTGCAGGGCCTCCGCCCGCACCCAGAGGACATCCCGCTCATGCGAAGCCTGAGGTCCCTGCGCCTCGACACCTGCGCCGACGCACAGTGGATGCGGCGCGTGGCAGCGGCCGGCTCCTGCGCACAGGTACGCAGCCTGGTCTTGGTCGAAAATCCCCGGCCAGGCGTGCTGAGCTGGGTGGCCAGGGCATTCCCCGGTCTGCTGGACTTCAGCGGCGAATTCAATAGCTACCTCTTGCCCGAGGAGCTGCTGCCCCTCAAGCAGCTCCCCAAACTCCAGAACCTGGGCGTCGAAGTGTGAGTGGGGCAGGATCGGCGGCTTCTAAGTGGTGTGCTTGGGGCAGGGCGTAGGTGCCCACACATATGTGGGACAGGCATGCCGGACTCACCCCTCCCCAACGTCCGACCTTGCAGTTACATTTCGCCGACGTGCCAGCTGGATTGGATCTGGAATGAGTTCCCGATGCTGGACCGTATCGTGGACATATTGCGTGACGATGCCGCTCCTAAAGGGGAGGAGGACTCTGCAAAGCTGTCACACTAGGCAGAAGAGGAACGGGGGATGGGTGCCCCGTCCTGGACACCTCCCCAGCACCGAGGCTGAAGTTGTGGGTGCAACAGCATAGTGCAGCCTGCGTGCCAAGAACAAATGGATCTCATGCAGTTTTGCGGATACTACGGCAGTGGCTCGTGTTCAAGCAAGTGTATGTGCAGTAGAATCACAAACATCTGGGAAGAACACCCACCCATGCCGTGCTTTATGTCTTTACCACCGTCAACCTCTGAGCGCAAGCACCTGACCAAGTTCTTGCATGCATGGCAAGCAGGTGAATAACTTTCCAAGCCGCGTCTGGCAGAGAAGAAACTTGTAACCACGCACTGGGCACCTTCATGAGTGTGCCTTTCTTCATCCTGCCTGGCATCTGGCCGCACTCTTCTCCAGCTCAGAAGCGGTGCCGGAGCATGGCCCACTTCAGGCGAAGCTGGTACCCCAGGGGCGAGACTGGCGAGATCTGGAGGGCGGGGTTAAACACATCGTGCCCCACGGCTGCCAGCCGGTCCAGCCACAGGCTGGCATGGAGGGCAGGGAGCAGCAGCGGCCTGCTCGCCTGCGGCACGTCGGCAGTCATTTTGCGCGCCTCTGCCAGGTTGCCCTGCGGGAAATTCCCGGGAGCAAGGCGGCTGAGGGGAAGGGGCTCAGCGATATGCCTGGTGGGAATGCGAGGGGTCGCCATGCGCAGGCCTGAACAATGCCCTGTGTCCCTCTGCCCATGTCTACCTCAATCTGCACTCTCTCCACCTGAGTCCTTCCCCCCGGTCCCCGCCCACCTTGGCCACCCCTGCCAGCTCAGCAGCCACGGCACACAATTCCGGCGAGGGCCTGCCCTGCGCCAGTCCGGAGAGGGACACCCCGTGCCGGCCAGTGGACTCCTCAGGCAGCCTTGTGCGTCCCCGGGAGGCATCCCGGGGCGTGCCTCGCAGCACCCTGGCGAGGCCCACCCCCCTCGCCACCTTCTGTGCGGCTTCCGCCGAGGTGGGGGAGGCGTCGTGGGCCGCCTCCAGCTGCAGCTGGGACAGCTGGCCCAGGCTGGAGTCCAGCTGCGCCAGCAGCTCCGCCAGGCTCTCTGGCTGCTGGCCCAGCCCCGACACCTCCTCCCGGCTGGCCACGATGCGCTGCAGGCGGTACCGCGTCAGCTGCGCCTGCTGCAGTACCTCCGCCAGGGCGGTCATGACAGGGTGGTCTGGGGCGTGGCCCTTGTACAGGTCGTTCACGGCGCTCTGCCACCACTGGGTGACAGGGGTGGGGAGGGGGCAGGGTGGGCGTGCCATGAGTGGGCGGGCAGAAACCACAGTGGGAAGGCCAAGAATGGGGTATGCACGGCGCTTGATGGGCGTCCTTACAAAAGAAGATCTTTTCTGTATCACCCAGGATCAGGGATGACCCCCAGCACCCATTCCAGCACCCCATCGCCTGCCCAGACAGACCTGGCACCGCATGCTGACCAGCGACTGGGATTTTGCATGCTCTGCCACCAGTTCTGTCTCTATGTAGAAGGCTCTAAGGGCAACTATGGCTGGTCTGAGTGCCTGGTCGAGTGGGTGACGCGAGGGGGCCGGGATGAGGTCTACATCAACAAGCATGCAGGCGTGGGGGTGGTGCTGCACAACGGTGCACATCCTCGAGTGGGCATCGACGGCCTACCTTGGGAAGTTGCACGGCCCAAATATAGTTCTCATAATCATGTGTTTGCAACTGGCTTAGGCAGTGGCTGAATGCCGCGCGGACTTTGTCAGGGGTTGTCACGGAGTAGAGTCGCAAACAATGTTGAACGAATCTGCCTGTTGCCCGCGGACTCCTACATCGCATCATATTGAGTATATTGGTTTCAACATTCGAAGATTGAAAATGCACATCGGATTGAACTGTGTTGCCGGGAGGATGCAGAGCAATGCATGGGCGAAGTGTACCCCCCCCCTTTCCGTATCACACGTGGGAGTCCCCACACATCGAGTTGAGCTTCCCTTCACTGAAGGTGATGTTGCACCAGATTGTTAGAGGACCGCCAAAATAAGCGCAAAGCACAGTCACACCATCTTGTGAATCTGAATTGTAATGGTTCAATGAGGTTGGCAGCCTTGCAGCGAGCTGCTGCGGGGGCTGCGTGGCTGGCAATAATCTTTCATCAGGTGAGAGTACGACACACTTGGCAAAGCATTTGAGGGTCATTGTCAAGATGTCCCTGTTTTGAGCCTAAGCACGATGGACATCTCTCCCTAATACTGGACCTCTTCCATGTGGGCATCCCACAATCTCATCCCTTCCTGCTTCAAAGAACAAGACACCTCGTATCCAGTGTACATCCTTCCACGAGCATCCACGAGTCCTGGCAAGCATAGTCCATTGTCCCTCCCTCGCTCTGCATGCCTCGATAGGCCTTGAAAGGGCTGAATTACAAAACAGCACCCAAGAATTGAATCGCAGAGGTATGGCAGATGCACCAGGGGCACTCGCCAGCCATCATTCCAGACTCATCCTGTGGGAAAACATCAGGGGTACCCATCATGAGCATTTACATAAGACAAAGGCCAGTCACCACGAGACTTCAACCCAAGGAAGCAGCTGCCGGCATGCGCACTCACATCCGTCTCTGCCTCTTGACCCACCTATATCCACCCGCAGGACGCATCTACTGCTGGTTGGAGTTGGGCCCGCGAGCCTTGCCGAAGCCAACGACTGCACATGAGGACGTGGGGAAATTTTCCTCAGAAACAAAGCCCACACCAATCTTTGCACCATCCCCAGAAGCCACGCATGCCGATGCATCCCTCGGCAGTACGCACCCCCAGCTCGCCACATGAGATTCATCCATACGCACCAACGTTCACGAAGCGGCGAATGTACTTCAGGCGCTTGAGTGCGCGGCCCTTTGGCGTCTTCTTCTTGTCCTGCTTGGCGACCTTGGGGCACTGGCCACGCACCTTACCGGCACGAGCCAGGGAGCCGTGCACCTTTCCTGCAAGTAGTAACGGGAGGGTCGATCGCTGCACCCGGCAAGAGAGTCCTCACGCTCACAAGTCCAAGCAGCCGAGCGAGCGGGAGGGGATGGCCTCCGACCTCCTCCCACGCGGCCTACCCATGTTGTCGGACCGGCTGCAGCTAAAAGTTGGAAGACCTTGGAAAGAGGTATCACCCCTCCGACGCTGACCTGTTGCCCAGGACGGGGAGCAGAGCAGGTTGCCGCACACAGTGTACTGCGGCTGGTACCGGCTCATGGCGGGAACCGAGCACTCTCATTGTAATGCACTCGGCTCTCTCTCCCTCCACGATGTGCATTCACAAGAGGTTGGAGTGGCCTGTGGGCAGATAAAATATATCACTTCAATATTAAACAAATACTCTACGCGTTGCCTGGTCGGGGTCCATTGGCTGCGATCTCCCGGAAGCGTCATGGCTCTGAGGAGCCTGGCCCGCTTCGCGCTGTCCCGGCGCGTCGCCGATGCTTGCTTCCAGCAGGTAGGCCAGGATGCCCTATGTCGACTGACGTCGCGCCTCAACTAATTCGTCTCCCATCTGCCTCACCACCTCACCTCCCTCTCCCACATACATGCAGGCGACCAAGCTCCAGGTGGCAGTGCAGGGTCCACCGGCGCTCACGTCCCTGCTCTGGCGACGCACCGCATCCTCCCTGCTGCAGGAAGCATCTGCTTCCACCTCCACCCCCGCCTTCGGCACAGAGGCCGATCTGGTCGTTCCCCTGCTGAACCAGCGCGGGCGCCAGGTGGGCACCTACACCCTAGGCGGCGACGTGTTCAACACCGAGGTCCGCCGAGACATCCTGCACCGCGTCGTGCGCTGGCAGCTCGCTGCACGGCAGCAGGTGGGGGAGGGGCTTGGGGGCTTGGGTCGGCACTGTCGCAGCTTGCAGGTGCCTGAACATGCCGCTGCTGTACGTGAGCCAGCGGTCGTCGAGGGTGCATGCTTGGACGCAGCGGTGCACCCTCAAACAACACTGCTCTCTGACCCCGCTGTGTCACAGGGCACACACAAGACCAAGACGAGGACGGAGGTGCGGGGCGGCGGGCGGAAGCCCCGGCCCCAGAAGGGCGGCGGCGTTTCCCGCCAGGGTTCGATCCGCGCGCCACAGTGGCGAGGCGGCGGCGTCGCGCATGGCCCTGTCACACGAAGTCACGCCATCAAGCTGCTCAAACGCATCAGGCGGCTGGGCCTCTGCTCCGCCCTGTCGGTGCGCTGAGGGGCGGGGGGGCGTTGCAGGCATCATTGTCATTTACGGCATGAGTGCGGAGCTCGTCGCCCAGCCCCCACGCAGGGCTTGCAGGGCTGTTGTGAGTGTTACATCCCGAAAGTCATGCACAGGTATAGCCACCCTGACTCTCAGCACTCCCACCCCACGCATCGCGCCAGGCCAAGGCGCGAGAAGGGCGATTGCTGGTGGTGGACACCCTGCGGCTTCCGCAGCCAAAGACGGTGCGGTGGTAGACGGTGCATCTGGGGATTGCAGACTCTGGTCTGCAACACGGAGTGCGCAGAACCCCATGCTCGAAACCTGACACTGGCTGATGTGCGGGGATTGATCCCAAGCGCGCATGTCGACGCAGCCTCCGGCTCGACAGAGGGCCTCCCCACTCACGGCCCCCCCCCGCACACACACACCACACACACACCACACACACACAGCGCGTGCTTTCCTCCACGCTGGAGGGCCTGCTGGCCGGCGCGCCTCGCCGCAGCGTGCTCCTCAGCGATCTGAGCGCAGAGGGCCCTGATGGGGGCGAGGGTCTGCGCCGGGCCTGCGCCAACCTCCCCTGGGTGGACCTGCTGCCCAGCATAGGGTTGAATGTCTACTCCATCCTGCGCAGGGACTACCTGGTGCTGACGTGCCAGTCGGTAGAGGCGGTGCAGGAGCGGTTGAGGAAGCCCATCCGCCCGCAGCGGTCCACCGCCTGAGCGTGAGGGCACGCACCGCCGATGACAGCTTGCAGGCCATCACCCCCGCCGCTCCCTCGTCTGCATGGCATGCTGGGGTTTGAGGCACCACCAGGCGTCGCGGAGTTTCGAAAGACGCATCGCGACCTCAGGCGTCGCCGAGTATCAAAGGACGCATCGCGACCTCAGACGTAGACAGCCGCGTCGGGTCTCCTGGGCAGGTCCCCTGACTGAGATCCCGTGCATTCGTGCGTCCGGATGAAATGGTTGTGCACCGTCGCACCCTGTAAGGAGGGACATGTTGCATGGTCGCAGCTGCACCTGGTTCTAGGCGATAGGGAGAGGGCATGGGCATGCCTTGCTTGGGGTATGGAAGGCACGCCGACTTGACCCCTCACAATGCCAGATCTCCCTGCATCGCAAGGCCCATCCTCTCCCTCCCATGGCATGCTGTCCAGATTTCAAGCAGCTTCTCTTCTGAGGGTAGGGTGTGGTCATGCAGAGAAGGGTCCACGCACGTCTTTGCATGTGTCTGTGTCTGATCCTCTTGCGGGGATAGGACCTGCAGGAATGTTGCGTTGATTCGGTGGGCAACGGGCTTGTAATTGGGCCAGCATGGCAGCTGCCACCGCCTGCCCCAGTGCACAGGCAGCATGCACCAATCCCCTCTGGCACTCTCTCAGGTCTGTTACCGGGAGGCAATCGGACGGGTGGTCATGAGCACATTGACCTGCGCAGGGGATTCTGTGTCTTTTATATGAGGCCATGTTCAAGGCAGGCGAATGCTCTGGCTGAATAGCGGCATCTGCAAGGGGCTTTGGGAGAGGCAACAACATGCGGCGCCAAGCTCCCACGCCTCCATGCTCCTGGGGGGGGAGGATGGCAGGGGCAAGGACAGGGAGGATCTCACTGCAGCATGTCCTCCCAGCGCGCCACTCTCCTGCATCTCCTGGTGCCGCGCCGCCTGCACTCCTCTCCGCGCACCGCGGCGCTCAGTTCCCCCCCCTCAATCACCTCCTCCTCCGCCCGGGGTTGCACTGCCGCGTCACAGCCCAAAATGGGCGTTGTACATGGCAGCAAACTGGAACACGGCAGCGACCTGCTTGCCCGCAAACCAGCGCCCGTTCATGGCCTGGACGGCGGCCGCGGCGGCCGGCACGGCGACGAACTTGAGGTAGACGAAGCCCTTGCTGGCAGCATCCACGTGGAGGTGCTGCAGCTCGCCGAACTTGGCACATTCCTCGCCCACGTCGGCGGCGATGTCCTCGCTCCAGCCCGGCTCGCTCTCCTCCTCCGGGTCGAACATGTTCTTCAGCAGCACGCACTGCGTGGGGATGGGCGAGGCGGGGCCCAGGAGGCCCTGGTCCAGGCGCACCGCCTCCGGAATGGCGGGCGCAGTGGGCGCAGGCACCTTGAGCGGCAGCTGCATGCTGGGCACCTGCATGCCCGTGTTGGCCGCCAGCGCGGTCATCAGCGCGGTGCGCCCCGCGCTGGTCAGCCGCAGCCCACCCCCATCCTCCGCGCCCGCCGTATCCAGCGGCTCGTTCAGCGCCGCGCCGACGGCCGAGGGCTGCGGCGGCTGCGGCGGCTGGGTGCCTGCGACGGCGGCTGCGCCCAGCAAACCCGCTGCGTCCAGCGTCACCCGGATCTCACGGTCCACCAGCGTGAAGCGGTCCAGGCTCTGCATGGCACGGGTTGCGTCGGTGAGGTGGCGGAAGTGCACCCAGGCGCTGCCCAGCGGCACGCCTGCCGCGTCGTGCTGCAGGGCCACGCCGTCCAGCAGGCCAAAGGGCTCGAAGATCGGGCGCAGGTCGGCCTCGGTGATGGCCGGGTGCAGATTGCCCACCGACAGCCGGCACGGCGCGGTGGCGGCCGAGGGGGCGAAGCCGGCCGCGGCGGCGACCGCGGCGGCGGCGGCCGCCGGGTCCGACAGGTCCACGGCCGGCGCGGCGGCGAGGCCCGGGACCAGGCCCGCGGTCGCCGGCGCGGCGCCGTCGGCCCCGGGCGCGCCATACCGCGCCTCCATGTCCTTGGCCTGCGCCTTCTGGGCCTCCGCCGCCTCCCAGGCCAGGTTCTTCTCCGCCTCGCTCATCTTGACCATCACTGCCTGGCCCAGCAGGGGGCGACCCGTCAGCGCCAGCGCCGCCATCACGTCCTCCTTGCGCTGGTACTCCACATAGGCCACGCCCTTGGATCGCCCTGAGGCGCGGTCCCGGATGATCTTGATGTCGTTCAGCGGGCCGGCGGCCACGAAGAAGCCAAACAGGTCCTGCTCCTCAGCGCGCAGCGCCAGGTTGTAAGCGAAGATGGTGCGCATGTCGCGGTCCATCTTCTCCATCTCCTTCTCGCGCGCACGCTGCACTCGCACCTCAGGAGGGGTCATCTCGCGGCGACGGGGTGGGGAGCGGCGGAAGTCCTCCCGCCCGCGCCGGAAACGGGGGGGGCTGGGCGAAGGTCGGCGCCGCGCTCGATCCCTTCAGAGGGAGTGGGGAGAGGGACGGGGGGATTGGGTTTATTTTGAGTTTGGAAAGAAGGGAGTGCGTGCAGGTGAGGCGGCTGGAGAACTCTGTGAGATTTGAAACACCAGGGAATCATATGGACATACATTCTGAGACCTGCATTCTGAAATCATACCCATGCAGACGTAGGACTCCCACCCAACTCCCCGGCCAGGCACAGGGAGTCCTCCTTCAAGACCTCTGCAGCAATGCGTGTCTGCAAGATACGCAATAGGGCCCCCTCCTTGAAACAGGCCCACACCTGGATGGGCTGCTTCGACGCTCCCTACTCCTGTCCCTGTATCTATCCCTGCTGCGATGCCGGTCCCGATCCCTGGCATCCGGTGACCTCTCGCTCCTGCTCCTGTGGCGGTGCTTCTCCTTGTGGTCCCGTGACCTATCCCGCTTCCTGTCGCTGGATACCCGGTCACCATTCCTGGACCTGGAGTCCCTCTCCGGAATCACTCCGTCCTCAGACATCCTGCGTCTGGAGGGGAGTGGGGGAACAAGTTTGATTTGAATGCAGAATTTCTATAGGCGACGGAGGCGAGAGAGGTGACAGAGATGCCTCCCGACTTACCCTTCATCGGCAGACATCCGGGTCGCTGCCAGGCGGAGCGGCCTTCTGACGGTCCCGTATCGCCTGGCTTATAATCCTAGAGATTCAGACAGTACTGGTGCTCCAGGTCCTCCTGTGAGTGAGTGCACACTGTCCATGGTGTCTTTCCTGCTCCCGCCAGATTTGCGCGTTGGGCTTCGCCATCCGGACTCGGGGGTGGGTTCCCTCCCAGCTTCGATGCAGAGCAGCAAGATAGAAAGTTGTTCACGTTCCCCCATTGGCAACTCGGTTCGCGTCTGACTGGGAAGATTCAACTACAAAAATTGCTGCACTCGCCCTCGACGTGCAGCCTGAGATTGTGTAGCCAGGACGCCTCCGACTCCCCACCACCGACAGCAAGGCAGCACCCACCGGCAGCACGTACTTAGGACCCCACCCATACCCACCTCCGCCACCTCGATCTCGCGAAAATGGAGAAGATCGACAGCTCTGGTGCCCTTCACAATCCCAAGGGCCAGCAGACAGTGGTGCGGGCCCCTGTCGGACTGGCGTGGGGTGCCCACGTTAACCACTGCCCGACCCCGAGGGCGCGACCGGCACGAGCCGCCGACCACTCTCTTCCCGTGCCCACCCACCCTCGCAGGTCATCAAGGTGGGAACCAGTAGCCTGATCCGTGCCAGCACCAAGAGCCTGAACCTGAGCTCCCTGGCCAGCCTGGTGGAGACATGCCGCGACCTGCACAACCTCGGCTTCAACGTCATCGTGGTGTCCTCTGGCGCGGTGGCCGTGGGCTGCCAGCGCCTGGGCCTGTCCACCCGCCCCCGGGAGCTGGCCAAGAAGCAGGCCCTGGCCGCCATCGGCCAGATCCATCTCATGCGCTACTACGACGATCTCTTCACCGCCCTGGGCCTGGTGAGCGTGTGTCTGCCTGTGCATCATGCCAGTCTCCGATTCCCAACCAATTCAGTTCCCAGCCACTCGTTTCCCCATCCAAACCATCTTCCCCCAAGCAAATGAATAATTAGATGAATACAACCCGACGCAGACGTGCTCCCAGGTTCTGCTGACGCTGGACAACCTGGCGACGCGGTCGCAGTACATCAACGCGCGCAACACCTTCCATGAGCTGCTGCGCTACGGCACCATCCCCATCATCAACGAGAACGACACCGTGGCGGTGGCTCAGCTGCGCTTTGGCGACAACGACACGCTGTCCGCCCAGGTGGCCACCCTGGTGGAGGCCGACTGGCTCTTCCTGCTCACCGACGTGGACGCGCTGTACACGGGCAACCCCTCCACCGACCCCACCGCCACACCCGTGCACGAGGTGGACGACGTGCACGACCTGGCGGTGGACACCGCGGAGGCGGGGACGCAGTGGGGCACGGGAGGAATGGCCACCAAGCTGACCGCCGCGGGGATCGCGACGGCGGCCGGGTGCCGCATGGTCATCTGCCACTTCAACAACCCCTCGGTCATCGTGGACATCATCGGCGGCGAGTCCGACGTCGGCACCGTCTTCCACCCCATCTCCGACCCCCTCAAGTGCGTGACGGGGTTGGGCTTGGGGGGGGGGAGGGCGGGATGGGGGAGGGATTGGGGGGTGGGAGACAGTGTGTCGAAAGGGGCTCAAGTGGCAGACTTTGCCACGCTGCCCACCTTGGCAGCACTCGACCTTGAATCCTCGCATTCGCCGCCCTGACATCCGGAGCATGCGAGCCTGTGCTGCCAACCCTCGCCGCCCCCTCCTACTCCTGCATGGTGCAGGGGCCGCAAGCGCTGGATCCTGAGTGTGCCCTCCAAGGGCGAGATCTGGGTGGACGACGGCGCGGCGCGCGCCATCAAGAAGCACGCCAGCCTCTTCGCGGCGGGCATCACCAAGGTGGTCGGCGAGTTCCAGCACCAGGACGCGGTCAAGCTGTGCGACGCGCAGGGGCGCGAGCTGGCGCAGGGCCTGACCAACTACAGCAACGTGGAGGTGGAGGCGGCCAAGGGCCTGTCCTCCGCCAAGTTCCTCGAAAAGCTGGGGTACCAGGGCCAGGAGGAGGTGGTGCACCGTGCCAGCATCTGCCTCCTGGTCAAGCGGGAGCAGGGTGAGCCTTTGTCCTTGGGTTTGATGGAGGCCGGTGGGTGGGAGGATGAGAGATTTTGGGTGTCACTTGGGCGGCAGGCTGCTCAGGGTGGGGGCAAGGTCACAAGCGGGCGGGATGATGGGTGAGGGGATGGTGGTTCGGCGGCCCCCAGATGGGCATGACATTGCCCACCCCCAAAGCACACGGACCCCCACCCGCCATGACATCATGCGCAGGGCGGAGCATGCGGCGCACGCCCAGCCGCGGCAGCATGACCAGCCTGGCCAGCAGCCGCGCGCCCTCGCCCGCGGGCCCCGAGTCGGGGTACGAGGACTCGCCCAGCCACTCCCCCGCGCCCGTGGCGCGGGGGCAGTCCCCCGGCCGGTCACGGACGCCCCCGCTCCCGCCCACGACGGGGCAGCAGGAGTCTGGGGCGGGGGAGGGCCAAGAAGGCCCGGCACTCAGCGAGGACGACATCGTCACCCGCCTGGCACACCTCAGGTGCTGGAGGATGGGAGGTGGGGCGGGGGGAGATGCTGCCTGCGGTGGTGGAGTGAAGCCGCCTGGCTGGGAACACCCCCTGTCCCTTGTCATTGCCCAGGGGAAATGGGGGGAGAGGGGCCAGCATCTATGCCCAAGATCACACATGGGTTTGTTCAGAACGGTCCTTCCGGGGGTCGAGGAGCACTGTCAGGCCTTCACAAGCCCCTCCTGCCTCCCACCTGCCATGCACAGGCAACGGGCAGGGCTGGGTGCGTCGGGACCGTCAGACGACTGGGACTCCCAGATGGCGTATGCCATGCACGCCGAGCTGCAGGGCAGCATGCACGCCAAGCCGGTGGCCTCAGACCAGGACGTCGACGAGGGCGGCTGGCTGCCCAAGTGAGGCGGGGACGGGTGGGGACCTGTCCCCTCACTTCCCGGCCGAACGACAACGTCAACGAATGTACGGCTGACCGGCGTGGTCGTTTCACGGGTCTCCACCGAGCCCAGCTCTCTGCGCAGGGCCGGTCTGGTCGCCCCTCTCCTTCTGCCCACACTGCCGCTGTCCAGCACAGGGGCGAAATGATTGATTGTACCCTTGTTCACCCCCTTGCCCCTCTCCCAATCTGCCGCTCTCCTCTCTTGCTCTCCACGTCCCTTGCAAGGCTAGTGCCGCCTCACACTTCAAAGATATTGATAGAGATTTGGGTATACTTGAGGGATCAAGCCAGCCTACTTGCCCTGCTACAGCAGCCTTGGGTGTGCCGCCTCCTGCGATCGCATCTCGCCATGGGTCAATTCTACAGTGAGCAGTTCGGGCTTCAATAAATAGGATGTTCTTCTGAGTGGCAACGGGTGCGAATGACAGAATCATTTTCATAATCCAACGGTCATCAGGACGGCGTGCCGGCCTGCGCCCTGGCAGTGAGCAGGCGCAGCGCGACCAGCGCGGCCACCCCCCCCGCCAGGCTGGCGCCGATGAGCAGGCCGCCCTGGGACAGGCTCTGGGCCCAGGGCTCCACCGCCTCCAGCGCGGCGCGGTGGTGGCGCAGCATGGCCCAGGTCATCTGCTTGGCCGTGCCCAGCCGCCGCTCCAGCAGGCCCACGCGCCGACGCCAGGTGGACTCCAGGTCGGCGGCCGTCACCGCGCGCGCGCAGATCTGGGCCACCATGCGCGCCACCACCACCTCGTCCTCCAGGCTGGTGGGTGAGGCGAGCGCGGCGGGGGAGGCGGAGGCCGCCCGGGAGGCGGGCGTCGCGGGTGAGGCGGGGCAGCGGGACGGGCAGGGGGGCGGCGACGCGAGGCGGAGGGCGTCCTGCGCCGCTGCGACCGCCGCATCCCACACGTCCGAAGCCGTGTGCCCCAGACGGGCGGTGCTGCGCTGCTGGGGCGTGCGGATGGCGGAGCCGTCCTCCGACTCGCTGTCAGTGGGAGAGGCAGGGGGGGTGACGGCCGCCTCGGCGTCGTCGGGGAACCGGTGGCCGGGAAAGGGGAGGCGCACCGAGCATTCTTCCATGTAACTGGCCTCCCTCAGGTCGCTCAAGAGAGGCCCTGCGCCTGCTGCAGATGAGTGGGCGTCGGGAGGGGGCGGGCGATGCCGCTCCGAGGCCACCAGGCACTCCCTCAGCTCCAGCAGCTTGCGAGACTCTGCGTCGCAGAGGCTGCCAGGCAGGCTGGGGTCGCCTGGCAGGAGGGGTGTGGACCGGGAGCAGGGCTGTAGAGAGTGGCCCAGACATTGAGAAACAAACTTGGAAGGTGGCTATGCGCGCTTTACCGAGCGCATTTGCCCTTCCCCACAACCTTCAGCGGACAGGGTGCACGCAGCCTTTGCGTGACATCTTCAGCGGCAGCCCCGACAGATGCTCTGCTCACCAGAAGGCGCAGCGGACTGGGCATCCCAGTAGTCCTCCACACTTGAGGCGGCAAGAGAGCAGGTGGAGGGGTAAGTACGGTGCAGCCGTGATCCCGCCGAGCCCAGTGACAGCCAGCCGCTTGGCGAGCGAGGGCTCCCACCGGCAGGACTGAATTCGTAGTGCGACCCACGACCCGATACCTCCATTGCAGAAAATGAATGGTGGGCTCTTTGTGATCTGCCTTTCGGCCTTTCGGCTTTTAGCCCCACTGCACTGGTCAGACGCATGCTGGAGAGACTCGTGCACGGGGGGTTGAGTCAACTGCCCTGCTGGCAATAAAAAGGTGGTCCCTCCCTAGACTCAGCACATTCAAGGTGAACCAATCACCCATAAATCGACCTTCCTTAATAGCTCCTGTTCAATTCCATTGCTTGGTAACCAGGGTACATGTCAGCACCAACCGGTTCTCACTGTATCACGTGGAAATGCCATGACTGTGTGATCATACAGTTGCATAGCTGTATAATTGATCTCTCATGCGTGAGTAACGTGAGAAGGACCCCGACTTATGCCTTGCATGATGTTGTCCCTCCTGCCAAAGCACAGCACCACCCACCTCATGGGCGGCGTCGTGGAAAATCGCGCGCGTTGAAATTTCTTCATGTGCAACTGCAACCACGCTCAGTCAGCTTCAAAATCAATCACTCAATTTCAATACGACCGTAATCGAAACGATGCGTACAAGAAGCAGGGCTGGTGCTGTGTCAGGAGCCAAGGACCCGGAGGAGGATGCTTCCCCGTCGCAGGAGGTAGAAGACGCCGAGGAGGCTACCTCGGGCAGCGACGACGAGGCACCCGAGGAGGAGCAATTTGAGGCTTCTAAAAAGGTCCGGGGGCCGCAACCAGACATCGAGTGTGTACCGTGGGCCGTGTCAGAGCGGTGGGGTATTGCTTTGGTGTTGCTGCCCACTGAGGCTCCACTGCTCGCAGCGATCGACCGTCTCTGTCCACACGCGCAGTCGGCGGCTGAAAAACGCCAAGATGAGAAGAAGGCGCGACAGGCTGCCTCTGCACAGAAGAAGCAGCAGCGGCGCAGCAGAGGAGGGGCCGCCGAAGCGTTGCAGGGGCCAGAGCAGCCTGCTGCTGAAAACGAGGATCGACCTGGCCCGCCCGCTGAGGCCAGGCCTACGGTTGCCGACGATGCTGATGCAGGGGAGACGAGTGGGGCCGAGGAGGAGTTGGACCTCCTGCCTAACGAAGTGCTCGACGCTGTGGCGCAGACCAGGTGGGACTGTGTGAGTGGGCAGAACGGTGTGCAAAGCAGTGATGGCATGTCGTTTCCTGCCCCTGGGATACTATCCACCAGCGCCACTGAGTCGACCTGCACGACACTCACACCTTGCTACCTGGCCGACTCCCTCCTCCACCACATTGCTGTTGCGCAGCGCGCTGAACCCCCAGCGGGCCCGGGAGCGCAGCATCGTCTCCCAGCACCTGAGGGCGGGGATGGGGCCCCAGTCCTCTGCGCGCAAGCGTCGCAGGGTCGTCAAGGGCAAGGCCACCGGACGCGTCGCCGGACCCGTCACGGTCAAGGTCCTGGGCGCGGTCCAGTCGACGCACGCGTCAGGTGGGCGTGCGAGGGGTTGGGGTGCGGAGGTGCTGGAGGGACGGTGGGAAGGAAGGCCCAGCCCTGTCGCGGCTTGGCACGCTTGCAGCCATTCCTGCCACCTGAGTGCGTTGCACACCGCTCGCATGGCCCCGCCGACCCATTCGTGCTCATCCTTCCCTTCCACCTTCCCCACACTCTGGCAGAATCTGCGCGGGCCTTCCTCAAGCTGCGGAGGTATGGCCCCAGGGTGGAGCGCTCCACGGCCATGCTGCGGCCCGTGAGGGTCGACGGGGTCTAGATCCACCCGTCCCGCCCCTGACGCGACAGCCTGTGGCGACTGCCCCCGCGCCCTCCCTGCACTCCCTTCCCCTGCCCTGGCCTCCCCCTGCTCTGTTCTCCCTTGCAACTACATTCCCCAGAGCCCCCTTTCCGCTGCATCGCGCCCTTCTGAGGGGAAGCCTACAACCAGTCACAGTGCGGCGGGGCGGACCCCCCTTTCATGCGGTGGCGGCGACAGAGGTAGAGCCGGAGCGCAGCTTCTTTGCCGCCTCCCGCTTGGTGAGCTTGCGCGCCCGGGTGGGCTCGGCCTCGGCCTTGACCGCGGAGTTGCGCTCCGACAGGATCAGCTCGATGTGCGAGGGGGAGGACATGAAGGGGTTGATGCGGCCATGGGCGCGGTAGGTCCTGCGGCGTCCACGCTGGGCCTGGTTCACCTGGATGTGGGAGATGTACAGGTTGTCCACATCCAGGCCCTTAAGCTGTGGGGAAAAGGGGGAGGGGGAAGGGGTTGTGGGGAGCGGAGGGCTGTGAGGTTGGGATGCCTTACAAACCTTGATGTCCTGCAGCCCAAGGGCCACCGATCCATGCCTTTGGGAGGCATGCAGACGCTCCCGCACGCGGACAGCCACCCTGCCGATCCCTGGTCTCCCAGCCGGCCCCCTCCTGGCGCCGCCTTTGAGCCAGCACCCCCGCCACCCACCTCGGCGTTCGACTCGGCGTTCTTCAGCAGGTTGAGCAGGAAGTCCACGGACTTCTTGGGCCAGCGGGCCTGGCCAATGGAGTTGCCCTCGTTCTTGGCCTGCGAAGTCCGGCCCACGCCGCCGTTGAAGCGCAGGAAGGGGATGGCGCGCTTGTGCTCGAGCACGGCCTGCAGGTAGGCCTTGGCCTTGGCCAGGTCCTTGCCGCGGATGGAGGCAGCGGCCTCACGGGAGTTCTTGAAGTGCACGCGGAGGTCGGAGCCCCGGGCCTGAGGGGAGGGGGAGGGGAAGGGGGGCGGGGTGGAAGACCACGAGAACTGCTCGGCACGGGCACCCCAAGGCGGGCATGCACGCCGAGGGTGGCTACGAAGAGTGCACGTTGTAGATTCGCCAGCTTTCGGCCCGTCAGTGTCCCGCGGTGCGCGCTGCCAGCATGGCGTTCCCGGGCCTGGCGCCCGCATCCTCACAGGCGAGCCCCTCGCTCAGGCCGCCCGTCACCAGCTCCGGTCGCCCGCCGTGCCCCATATCCTTGATGCACCACATCTAATGCCGCTGATGCCTCCCCGGGCCCTCCGAGCTGGCTCGAGAACGGCATAGCCCCTCCCCAGCACCCGTGGCTGCGGCGCCAATGCCCACCTTCGCCGACTTGGCCGCGTTCTCCGCGTCCTGAGCGTACTTCACCATCTTGAGGCGGCCTGGCTTGTCGCAACCCTCCCTGACCGCGAAAGAGGGTTGGTCGGGAAGGCCGCCGTGCTATAACTGAGACGCTGGATCAAACACACGTGGCCCCTCCCTCTCCGCAGGGGAGTCGCAGGGCGCGAGAAGGATCCAGCACCCTCGCACCAGCGTCTGAGGGGCACAGCGCATACCATACATGCCTTGTTTCCCCATTTACCCTTCGTTGCAACACCTGTCGAGCCTCACACCCGACCTGTGTCGTTACCGGTCACATTCTCTGGCCGCCGCGCCAGCGCCCAGGACCCTCGTCCAGTCCTGCCTCGCGGCACCCACACAATGAGCGCACTGTGGCAGAGCCAGGCAGCTGGGCCATACATACATGCACCAGCCACACAGAGCCATGTGTGAGTGGAGGACTGCGCGACACTGCATGGGCTCGTTTGCTGCCACATTCTTGCCTGCCCAGCTCAGGTCCCTTTTCTGTCAGAGCTCTTGAGCCTAATCCTCGTTCCTCCCCTACTCACTAGTCAACCCACCAACCCTTCCTCCCTCCGACGCCCACGCAGGTCGTGCTGCCTGTGCGGCGTGAGCATCCTGCCCAATGCAGCGTCCATGTGTGTGAACTGCCTGCAGGGCCAGGAGGACATCACCCGAGACATCAAGAAGCAGATACACATTTCCTGGTGCAAGGGCTGCCAGCGCTACCTGCAGCCGCCAAACCACTGGATGCATGCCGAGCCGGAGAGCAGGGAGTTACTCACCTTTTGTATCAAGCGCGTCACTGGGCTGAACAAGGTCAAGCTGGTGGACGCTGGGTTCATCTGGACAGAGCCACACTCCATGCGGCTGAAGACCAAGCTCACCATCCAGAAGGAGGTGCACGGCGCCATCCTGCAGCAGGTGCTGGTGGTGGGGTCTGGGGGGTTGACGAGGGGGAGGGTGGGAGCATGGCCTAGGGTGGGTTGTCGTAGGTAGCAATCAGAGTGCATCTTGGCATTTTGCCTGTCAGGAGCCCAGCGCTTGTTGGTTTGTCCTTGCATGCCGCCGTGGGCATGCAGGCTTTGTCATGCTTAGGTTTTCTGGCATGTGGCTCGAATGCTTGCTGCTGGGCTTCTTGCGCAGTGCTTTCCCCATCTGCCCTCTGTGAATACTTACAGGCACCCCCTGACCAAGTTTCATTCTCACCTTCCACCCACCATACGACCTCTGCAGGCATTCGTTGTGGAGTATGTGGTGGAGCGCCACATGTGTACGGCGTGCAATCGCCAGAATGCGAACCCAAACTCCTGGATAGCCTGCGTGCAGGTGTGGCGCCAGGGTTGTGTTGAAGGGTGAAACAACCTGATGAAGGGCAGGTGTTGTTTGTTGAGGTTTGACCAGGGCTTCTGGGGTCTGCGTGCCAGGTCGCCACCAATGGGCTTTGGTATTGCCAGCCACCTCTCCTGGTGCTGAGGTTGTCAAGATTCATCCCATTCCTGTCAACCTGCAGCTGAGGCAACATGTGACGCACAAGCGGACTTTCTTCTACCTGGAGCAGCTGATCCTGAAGCACGGCGCAGACGAGAACTGCGTGAACATAAAGAACATCCACAATGTGCGTGAAAGGTTGGTGTGCGGATCTCGCCGATGTTGGAAGAAATGCTGTACAACGCATAGTACACCCTCCACCCACCCCCTCTCCATCTCCCCTCACCCACCACACAATACAGGGAGTGGACTTTTACTTCGGCAGCCGCGCGCACGCCTGCAAGTTCATAGACTTCCTGCAAAGTGTGGTGCCGCTGCGATACCGCCACGACAAGCAGCTGGTCAGCCACACCATCCACACCTCCGAGTATAACTACAAGTACACCTTTAGCGCGGAGATCGCCCCCATCTGCAAGGTGGGCAGGGGTGTGTGGTTGGGAACAATCATGATCTCGAGTGCAGGCGTCGCCTGCAGCGCATGCGGCGCCCTCCAAGGGTCCTCGTCCTCCGTCTCTACCTTTCCTCCCCCCCACCCCCCACCCCACACACTCCCACGCAGGACGACCTGGTCTGCCTGCCCGCCAAGACGGCGCTGGGGCTGGGCAACCTGGGCCCGGTGGTGCTGGTCACCCGCGTGACCAGCGCCATCACGCTGACCGACCCCCAGACCATGCGCAGCGCGAGCCTGGAGGCGGGGCAGTACTGGCGCGCGCCCTTCCGCCCGCTCATGCACGCGCGGCAGGCGGTTGAGTTTGTGGTGCTGGACTGCGAGCCCGTGCAGAGCTCCCACGGCGGCGGGTACAACCACGGCGGGCGCTGGCAGCTGGCGGAGGCCACGGTGGCCAAGGCCGCAGACCTGGGCGCCAACGACAAGGTCTCCATTACGCGCACCCACCTGGGCCACCTGCTGAAGGCGGGGGACACGGCGGCAGGGTACGACCTCTCCTCCGCCAACGTGGCCGACGACGCGCTGGACCGCGCGCTGGCGGCGGGGCTGGCCCCGCCGGAGATCGTGCTGGTGCGCAAGTCGTACGAGGAGAAGCGGCGGCGGCGCGCGGCGGCGGGCGCGCGCCGCGCCTGGAAGCTCAAGCGCCTGGACGGCGTGGAGGCGGGGGAGGAGGACGAGGGCGGGCGCGGCGCGCGGCGCGCCGCCGCGGAGGCCGACGCCGCCGCCGCCGACATGGAGCGCTTCCTGGAGGAGCTGGAGGAGGACCCGGACATGCGCTCGCGCGTCGCCGTGTACCGCGACGCCGAGGCGGCGGCGGCGACGGCCGCGCGTGCGCCGGCCGCCGCCGCCGACAGCGAGGACGAGGAGGACGACGACGTGCCGGGCATCCCGCTGGAGGAGCTGCTGGAGGACCTGGTGGCCATGCAGATCGGGGAGGATGGCACGCAGGGCGACGAGCTCTTGGACGACATCTCGGGCATGCAGCTGGGCTGATGTAGCGCCAGCGGTGGCCGGAAAAGGGGGGCCGGGGGGGGTTGTCCTCGTGCTGGAGCAATGGGTGCCGCGCGGGGGCGAGGTGCGTCCTCTCTCGAGAGGCGCTCTCCCTCTCCCCCCCACCTCGTTACCACTCCCTCTGGAGGTGCTGTGCCGCGGCACAGGGTGGCCGCACACACCTCTTTGTAACATTACAAGGATGCGCTGAGGTTTGATTAGATGGGGAATTGGGGATTGGCATACCTGACACAGCAAGGAATAAAAAGCGCAACAGGACAAGGATGTTGAGTGGCTCACTCCGTGGGCACTGACACCCCCTCCTCCTGACGGGCGTGCTGCGGCGTGCGGGTTTCTGTCGCCGGCAGTGCTGCATGCGCCCGATGCCTCCTGATGCCAGGATCGGTGCGTACCGGTCCGTACCCTGGCATCGGGGCGCATTTCCACCCCCTATCAGTCATGGCATCCATCACTGCCTCCGCCTCCGGCATCCGTGGCGCCTGCCTGGCCCGGCCGAGGCCCGCGGGGCTGGTGGCGTCGACACCCTGTGCCTGCCTGGCCGTCCCGCGACCTGGCATGGCCAAGCAGCGCCCCGCCATCGGCATCCATGCTCTCAATTTCGAGTCGCCGCTCGCATCGAGCATGCGTGCGGGTGGGATGAAGTGCCGGGCCTCACCATCGGATGCGGCAGGTGGGCGGGCATCTGGTGGTAGGGTTTTTGAATCGGGCAGGGCAATTACGCTTGGCCAGGCTATCACAGGCCTCCACCGAGCACATTCGTC